TTAGGGGTTACAATGCTATCCCTCCATTTAGGGGTTTAGGATGTAGGGTTTAGGGTTTAGGGTTTAGGGTTTAGGATTTGGGGTTTAGGATTTAGGGTTTAGGGTCTAGGATTTAGGGTTTAGGCTTCAGGTTTTAGGGCTCAGGGCTTGGTATCAATATTATAAATGATAGGAACAACAACAAGACTAACAATGGGAGAATAGTAACGTGGTGCTGTGCCAATATATGATGGTAATGAAACAGTTTGCAAGAAACATTGGTGTAAGAATTCTGGTGTAGAAAAGGCTTCTGGTTTAGGTTTTTTTGTGCTGGAGCAAGATCTAAAGATCTCATGATTGGGATTTTGGTTGCTAGGGTTTGGAGCTTATTGTCTTTGGTCTCAGCTCCTTGATCCTGAAGACATGTAGGTGCTTACGCGACTTTGTGATTAGATTGACATGCCGCGCTTGTGGGCATCTATGCGTTCAGGGTTTGGTAGAGTTTGGGGTTTAGGGTTTTGGTTTAAGGGTTCCTTTTCAAGGGGTTAAACAGCTTGAGGAACCTGTGAAAAGGGCTTGACGAACCCTTGAAAGGATGTTATAAGGGTTCGTTTAGGCACTTTTCAAGGAGACTAGGTATTTGTGTTGGAGCTGTTTAAACGGTTTCTAGTTCTTAAAGTAGCATTTCAATCCTAAGTGGTTGTGGGCCTTGAGATTTGTAGTGAACAGAAGAGATTGGATGGGAAATACGGGGGTTGAGCTTAGGTGTGTGGAGCGGCTTCTGGCTCAGGGTTTAGGGCTTAGGGCTTGGGTGGTAGGGCTTAGGGCCTAGGGGGAGTACACTTCGTTCAATGTGGATCCCAAGCAAAAAGGGAACCATGCATGGCCATTTTGGGGACAGGTATTTTGAGCAATTAGCATATGTCTACAGGCTCTAATTTGGTGGGCTTCCAATATCCAGCGTTTTCATGAGCAGTCCCCAGTCGTGGTGGTAGTGTTAGTATTATTGGTGTATACTGGAGCCTGCTTGGAAGATGAAAAATTGAGTGTTATGAAGTTCATCGAGAGGCATTCTACGGTATAGGGTTTCATGAATGAGGTTTCAAACGGTCTTTGCGTTTGTCAGGGCTTGGATTCTGGGTCTAGGGTTTGTGCTGCCAATCCTAGACTCCATACCCCACCTAGATCCCCCAAGTACCTTCTATGGAGCTCGCATACCCGCAAGTAGGACCTACATGGATGGTAAACATTCAACTCTAAACCGTAGAGCCTCAGCTCTTGACCCTGCACCCTCAACCCCATCCACTTGGAGGATCATGGGACCTAGTACGCAGGTTAATCATGAGGATGATTGGAGTTACTTAATGGGTTTCAGGGGTTATGTTTTTTAATCATAAGACATGGGTTTCAGTGGTTATAAGTTATTCATTACCAGAAATGGGTTTCAGGGGTTATACGTTATAAGTTCGAAGCTAGAAGTATACTTGCTAAGTCCCCCCTAACCATCCAAGTAGCTACCGCAGGCCCCACCCGTGCGGATGGAGCCCACGCCTCAGACTTCCTCCTTTGGAGGGCCTCCCGGCTGGGATTCAAACTTCATGCGAGCTATAGTGAAAACTCCTTAAAAGGGGGGTTATATAGGGAATTATATAGGGGACTACTATAGGGCTTATTAAGGGGGATACTAGGAGTTTAGACTATAGCTCATGTGGGTGGTTTACACTAGGGTTTAGAGTTTAGGGTGCAGGGTCTTCGGTGTAGGGTTTTAGGGTTTTAGTGTAGGGGATTTGAGCTTTTGGCCTTGTATGAATATTGGAGTATCTCAGAACAAGCTTCTGGTCAACGTTTAATGTGAGGTTTGCCAAATTCTGATCTTGTTTGCATAGGAACAGATGTGAAGAGAGATGGAGACTTGGGCTAATTGTTTATGTGCCTTTCTGGGTTTTCCAGTTGCTGTACTGGCCCATGTCGGGGTTATTCTGGGATTTAGAAGGGATTGCCCCGATCCTGAATCCTATGGTTGATACAAAAAACCCTGCATCAGCTTCTGGTACTAAAACAACCCTTCTTCGCAAGGTATGAGGCGCTCAGGGCCCACCTTATACCCTAAACCCTACACCAAAACCCAAACCCTAAAACCCGAAGCCCTAAACCCAGGAGCTGCATCTGGAACCCTGAAGCAACTTACGAGCTTCTGTTTCAAAATAGGTCTTAAATACTGTAACCTGAATGGGTTTCGGATTTAGGAAGTAAGGCTTCGAGTTTAGGATTTCTCTTTTGGGGGGTTTCAGGGTCTACAATGGAGGGTTTAGGGCTTAGGATGTAGGGTTTAGGGTCTAGGTTTTGGGAGTTTCGCAAGACCAGGCCAGCCGCAGATTTGAGGGGTATATATGAGGATTAAAAGGTGTTTGGGAGGGGGGGTGTCCTGCAGGATGATGTTGGATCTGTATAAATTTAATTATGATCTCAAAAACATCTCGAACGGGATTCCAGAAATCCAAAACCCTACTGTTGATACTTAAAAACCTGTATGACCTTAGTATACTATAGTACCCTAATTCCCGAGGTATAGGGTATTTAGGGTCATGCAGGATTTCTAGTATCCACCTTAAACCCTAAACCTTAAACATCCCTACGTATCCCTATATGACCCCTTTATCCAATTCAGGTACTGAGTGTCATGCAGGATTTGTAGTATCCTCCGTATTTTGAGAAACCCTAAACGGTATGTTGAGAAACTCATATCCTATAATGCCTGTTTCCATTTCACTTTCCATGTTCTTTTCCAGATTGTCCATTATTGGGGGATAATAACCCCTGTTTAGCCCACTAAACCCTAAACCCCAAACCTAAAACCCTGAACCCTTACATTTCCAGTTGACAAAAAGCCGAGGCTACGGGAGCTGGCATCTGGCAGCGAACAGCGCCTGGAGGACGCGGGCATGTTTTGAAACTCTCCCCCCCAAAAAAACAGAGTTTAGGGTTGGGGGTTTAGGGGGTTTAGGGTCTAGGGCGTTTAAGAGGTTTAGGATCTAGGGGGGTTTAGGGGTTTAGGGTTTTAGGGTTAAGGGCTAGGGTCTAGGGTTTAGGGTAGGGTCAAACTTGGATTTTTCGCAGCAGCCCTGGATTCCCAAGTTAGGGGCCCACAAAACCCCACCATATTTCCCTGGGCTCCAAAAAGGTGCCCCTACTTTGAGAAACTCCCCAGACCCCTAAGACCATTAGTCTCTAAGGGTTTAGGGTTTAAGGATTAGGGTTCTAAACCCTGAAATCTTGGACCATGTGTGCTCGGAGAAGAAGCCTTTTAACGTGGGAAAGCTTAAGCCTTGGATGTTAAACAGTACGCTCTAAACCCCAAGCCTTCAACCCTAAACCATTAGACCCTGAACCCTAGGCCCTAAGACCTAAACCTAAACTTTAAGCCATAAGTTATCTGTTGGTTTTAATGACAGTTGTCATTGGGCCGACAAGACTCATAGAGGTTTTCCCTCCAGTGGAAGCCCATAGGGGTTTAGGGTTTAGGGATTAGGGCTGAGGGTTTAGGGTTAATACAAAATCCTCTGAATCTGAACCAAGACTGAGCCCTAAACTGAGTCAACGCTGACAGATGATTCTTTTCAAAAAGTTTTGTTCTGCTAAACCCATTACAGGGGTGTTGAGTGAGCCCTTTTTTCCTTTTTGGTGAGGCCATGTCCTTGTCTATGCGTCCTTGTCTCTTGAACCCAGACTCAGTCGCCGCAGCCTTGGGAACTGAAATCCAGCCTGAGAGCCGTTCCTTGAATTGTTTCGTCACTTTGCAAGAACCTGCCAAACTGGTTCAATGTCCAAAGGACTTCCCTCCAGATTCCATAGAATCTGGTAGCTCGCTGTCTTACTTGTAAAGTCTCTAGACCTCCCAAAATCCCAAACCCCAAACAGTAAAACATAAACCCTAATCCCAAAGCCCCGAACCCTAAACCCCGAGTAGTAGTCTCCATTTTCTTTTCCATTATCCCTCTATAATCTTTACGTACTAACCGTACTTACCCTAAAAGTAATTTCCATTTTCTTTCCATTATCCCTATATAACCCCGACATCTAACCCCTATAAACTATGTACTAACCCTAAATAGTAGTTTCCTTTTTCCATGATCCCTATATTACCCCCTAAACCCTAAACCCTAAACCAGGGCCTCCAGACCCTTCGGCCTCCAGCCTCGCCCCGGCTGGCAAGTCCGACGTTCAGCCGTCACACGCAGCCTGCGCTGCGTTTTGCGGGGGTTTTGGGGTCGGGTCTCGGGGTGAGATTTAGGGTAATATAGGGGTTATGTGGGGGTTATATAGGGGAAAAGAAAATGGAAATTACTATTTAGGGCTTAGGGGTGAGATTTAGAATCAGGGTTTGGGGGTTAGTGTTCAGGGTTTAGGTTCAAGATTTAGGGCTTATCGATTGGGATTTTGAATCAGGCTTCAGTGTTCAGGGTTTAGTTTTAGGAGTTAGTTTTTAGGGAGTGGGCTGTAGAGTTTGGCTTGGGACAACTCTGGAAACTCAAGGAGAACGTAGTAGCTTAGGTGGTCAGGGACCAGGGTTCAGGGTTCAGGGTTTAGGGCTTGCGGGTGCAGCGACTTGGGAAAGTTGATGGAGGAAATCTTGCACTGTCCAAAGCACTTATAATTCAAGTAACTGTAGTTGAAGGATCTTTCAGGACCTTGGATTCCTCACGAGAATCTTTAATGGGCTTGGTGAGGGTGTTGGGGATTAGAGGGTTGTTCTCCAGGACCTATACCCTGAACGCTGAACCCTAAGCCCAAAGCCCTAAACCTTCAACCCTAACTACAGAACCTCAAGCCTTATAAACCCTAAACCCTAAATCCTAACCTTAAGCACGACACCCAAAATTCAAACATCTAAACCCTAACACAGGCAGACGGATGCCGTCCGCGCTCCGCCGCAACTTCCGCCACCGGCGCCGCCACCCTGGCGGACGGCAACCTGGGAGGAGCGTCTACAGAAAGGTATGGATTGGGGTATAGGTTTGGGGGATTTAGGATTGAGAGTTTACGGTTTAAGGTTTAGGGTATAGATTTGGGGGGTTTAGAGTTGAGAGTTTAGGGTTTAGGGGGTGGATTTGGGGGTTTAGGGTTTTGGGGTTTGGGGGTAAGGGTCCCAGTAATGGAGAGTGGACAAGAACATGGACAATGCAATGGATACTGGGGTTAAGCACGGTTTATAGGGATTGTTAATGTCGATGCTCTAAAATATTCTCCATGACCTTCTCCGTGACCTTTGCAGGCTATACTGGTTCTCAAGGTCTAGATACTTAGTTATGCAGATTTTTCTATTCACTGTAGGGTTAAGGGTTTAGGGTTTGGGGTCAGGGCCTGGCATGTTAGAGTAAGACTCTGCTAGAGTGCGCAATCAAAAAAGGAAATGACCGAGAATCAAACGGACAAAAGATTGAGAATGAAACTAATGCGGGATTTCTCTAGGAGTTTGCAGGGATTGAGCTGTAGGTGCCTAAATAATTAGGATAGGGTCTCGGGGGATGTTCTCTTACAATGAGGAGAGTATGCTTTTGAGAGGAGAGACTTCAGGCTTCACGGGGTTCCCGGTTGGAGGTATAGGCTTTACAAGGTAGAGCTCGTAATGCAAAAGCGGCACAGTAGCCTAAACCCTAAGCCAAGACGAAGAAGCCGCTATGCCAGTAGTAGCATGTGTAGGGTTTCAGGCAAAAGGGCAACGTAGAAACCGGAATGCGAGAGCTGTTTGCCGTTTTGGGCACTGTTTTTTTGTGTATAGTGACAGTAAGCAAGTTAACAAACATTATTCTTTGTCATGTGTGTGCCGATTGCCCGCTGTGGAGCGAGATTACTGCCCATCCCACCTTAAACCCGTGAAGCTTATGGACAACCCCTCGGACCCGCAGATCATATTCAGAAGTGGGGTAAGGGATCTGAGACCGTGAAACCGTGGGGAAGGACCGCAAGGTGCAACTGAACACTACTGTGCTCTGCATGTGCGGGCTCAGCGCAAGAACGCTCGATCTGAGTCAACTGCGGACCCTCAAATTTTTGAACCACCAGCCAGTTTTTGGTGCCTTGCCTCATACCCTGCACCCTAGACCATAACCTTCTCCTTACAGGTTCTCAAACTGCGGTGCTGTGAAGCAACTTAAACTAAGTTATATACTATGATGAGGCAACTAATTGCTATTTACTAGACAGCCATATTGTAGCAGCTTAATTTAAGTTCTTTAACAGCAAGCCAGTGTACAGCAACCCAGTGTACATCCCCTGGGGCTCTAAGTTTATTAAAAAATACTTACATTGGGCCTAAATGCCGAAACCCTAATCCCTTAGACCATGTACCCTAAACTCAAAACCCTAAACCTTTAACTTCAGCCCTGAACCCTAAACCCGCCGTAGGGATCCGCTCTACATCCGCGAAGGAGTGGCCGCAAAGCGAACCCGAACGCACGAGCTGGGGAGAGCGGCAGCTCGCAGGATGAAAGTTCTAATTTAGGGTTTAGGGTTTAGGATTTAGGGTTTAGGGTTCAGGGTTTCCGTATCTGAGGAATATACTAGGGCTATATAGGGATAATGGAAAAGAACATGCAAACTACTATATCATAAAGGGGTATATATGCATATATATATATACACATGGTTCCAGGCCTGAACTCTGCCGATGCGTTTTCGGCTTTTTCGCCACGAGGTACATCAGCTGTACGAGAACATCATCTTCGACGGGGGAGGGCTGGAAGGGATAGTTTAGAATA